TCTGTGTTTGAGACATTCTACAGCTGGTTGATAGCTAGTCCCAGTCACTTCAAACCCTCTTATTGTTTGCAAGGCATTGCCAGACAGCACTGAACGTAGGTCAGTGAACTTTTGAACATTGGGCAAATCATCATTGTCATGCACTACAGCTTCAAACTGGTCCCAGAAGTTTTGGAATTTCAACACATCACCACTAAACTTGGGCAGCTCAATCCTAGGCAGTTTGAGATTAGACGATTGGTCTTTATGTACACTCCCTTTTGAAGACTGCTCTTCTGAATTGGACTCCTTAGTTAAATATTCATGAGCTGCATCTAAAACTTGATCTATCCCATCCACGAATCACCTTCAACAGCACAGTTCATTCTCAGTTTCCTCGTCTGCGAGTAATGAAATTATACGATCTCTCAACTGAACATATTTAATGTCACACGATGCTCTGACAATTTTTCGATTCTGATCTCTACTTTGACCTTATTATTCTCAATTTCGCGCAAGTCTGAAAGGGCACTTACGGCTTTAATATCCTCCTGCAATACCTTTGCATTAGTCTGATGGAAGTAATCTCTTGCAGTTGTTTGGCGTTTGCGGCTGGAGGAAGTTCTTTGCTAAATTTAGCGAAATTCATATCTTCGGGTGATTGTTTCGACGGTTCTGGTTTCCCAGCAGTCTTTGACTCATAATAATCATCTACTAACCTCTGAATCAAGACTTTTTTCTTTCCAGTCGTCGGCAATCCCTTTCCTTTAAGCAATCCACGTAGTTGCTCCACTGATTTACCATTTTTGAGATAGCTCGTCTTCTATTTCAAAGTCACTCGAATATTTGGCAGCCGCTCTTGTCGCACACGTGGTTAGGAGTGTTGACTGTGCAAAGTCTCACAGAAGTCAGTCAATCCACAGCAAATTGTACTTACGATCGTTCAAATCCGCAGCTCGAAGGACCATTAATGTTCTGGTAAGACGACGTATTTATTTACGGCTTCACAGCCTTGCGCAGCACTTCGCTTTCACGCCTTTTGACGTGCATCGTTTTACAACTTTTGCAAAGAAACACGGAGGAACAACGCGACAGTCACGTGACGCTACAAATACTATCGCGGGGTACCCACGGGGTACCATTACAAGTCAAGTCTGTTCGGTTTCTTACTTAGTCTACCCGTGCGGATGTAACGGGCTTTAACAGGAACCCATGCATTAATTGTTCTAGTTTCTATGAACAGCTTTCTCGCCATCACTTCAACATTAGGTACTACTGTGATCTTAGTTGCCATTCACAAGGTATCTTCCCTTCATACACCCTCCAAGATCTTGTTATGTTCATTGGCGCTCACTGATTTCTTTGTCGGACTTCTCGAGGAGCCACTTCTTGCCATATTTTTAATGACAAAAGAATATGAAAACTTCAGTCTTTGTACGCACATCAATACTATAACTATCTTTACCGGTCAAGTTTTGTGTTTGGTGTCTTTGCTCACACTGACCACAATAAGCGTGGACAGACTTCTCGCCTTGTTACTGGGCCATAGATACAGACAAGTAATTACTTTTAAACGAGTTTTAGCAACGGTGCTCAGTTTTTGGACTCTGAATATGGGCTTTGCCACTATGGTGTTTTGGAACAAGAACATCACTTTATATTATATCTCTATAGTTGTTCTGTTATGTATAATGGTTTCAAGTTGCTGTTACGTTAAGATTGATCAAAAGCTCCTTCGTCATCAAGTTCAAATACAAGAACACGTTCACCAAGGACAACAAAATGGACATGCACCATTGAACATGGTGCGATACAGAAAAACTGTCCAGTGCATGGTGGGTACAATTTGCATTAGTCACGTGCTACCTTCCAATGACTGTAATTACGGCATCAATGGCAATAAAAGGAATGCTTCCATCACCTCTCGTTGCTTGGACATTTTCATCAACACTGGTGTTATTTAACTCAACACTGAATCCAGTCTTATACTGTTGGAAGATTAATTAGGGAAGCGAGACGAGCTGTTATAGAGACTATCCTACAGATATCGTGCTGTTTATCAAGCTAAGGTAGCGACTATATTTCGAGTATGGAATTTTGCTATCCAAAAATACTAATAGCAGGCAAAGTCGCTCTAAACGTATGGATTTCCGAAAAAAAAATTAAAACTTTAGGATAAGAATCTACTATACTAAACTTTTTAGTAAGGAGTATCGCTGTTCATTTTTAACCCGGAGATTGCGTAAGCAATCTATAGGGTTTTAGTGGTGGTACAGATTATGTAAATGATATGCAAATGATGCCCTTCCATCATCTGTAAACTTTTTGGAGTAATTCCCCTGTCCAGTAGATAAAGTTTCTGAAATCACTGTATTAGTCAATATTGCAGGCACGTGTATCGTGGTCTAGCTGCGATTGTTGCACTAAAAAAACTTGTTTTGTTTGCTTTCTGGGTGTAGTTTCATTTAACATTTCTATTACAATTCTTATCTTAAATTAGGAGTTGACTCTAAATAAGACCCAATGTTGGCTTTTGTAATACGCATTGGCGGAACGTTTTAGATGACAGAGGTGAAGTTGCTGGAAGCTGCTGTTGTAAATTTCCGCTCCAAAGTTTGAAGTTTAGTAAAGATTGATTAGCTAGAGGCAATCCCCTCTACATATCGATGGTACTACTACTGGAGGGTTGAGATGCTCAAATTAAATTTCGGAAATCAAAGCGAACAGTTTCGTTGAGGCCACCGTAGCATTTGTCGAAAAAGTCTCTAATAAAGAACAACGCGGTCTTGCGAGCCTCTAAAAGGCTCATGATTAAGCCAGGTTATAAGTTTCAACCGCGAGCGTAGAATCCACTGCGAGAAAATCCTACTCAGTCTTGAGGACAAACTCACATAAGTCGCATTGGAAGACGAATCCCGCATAGCGGAAGCAAGAAGAACTAGATAGATTTTCACGAACTATAATGCAATCCGAGCATTAAAATTTTGCCCATAGACAAAAATTTGGGGGCTTGTTCAAGCTGATACACTTTGACATTTGAATAGGCTGATGAGTTATCATATCGCAAAGTCACACAACACCTCTCGCAATCAACAAAAAGTCAATTTGCGCTACAATTGTACGGCGAATTTAACTGGAAAAAAGGACAAATAGGACTCCTCTATTCCTTGTGTACTAGCCACACCAAACGTCGGGTCCGAGAAGTCTGCAGTTTAAGAGGCTGTATGTCGCACATTTGTTAGCTAATTCGCATATTTGCTAGCCAGTTTGTGATAAGGCTAAAGTACAGTGAAACCCCGCCTTACGACCACCCCGTTAATACGGCCACCTCGTTATTACGGCCACTTTATTCTGGCCCGAAAAAAAGCTCAGTCAGTCATATTCCTATTCCTATTTGAAGAACTCCTTCAATACGGCCACCCCGTTAATACGGCCAGCTTTTTGTGGCCCGTTGGTGACCGGATTAACGGGGTTCCACTGTACTTTGTATCTTTCCCCCTTGAAGCAAGGTTTCTCACGTGTTACTGTGGTTAGCACCCACGTTCCAATCTAGTGGACCCGAGTTACATTTCGGGATTCGTAGGCTTTCTTTCCGTTTGTTTTTTTAAGCCACTGGTCTTTTTCTTTTCTTGTTCAACTCTTTTTTCGGTGAAGAAAATCCGTCCACACTACACCGAAGGAATTTGAAGCGCAACACTCACCGGTAATTTTGGATTTGCTTTTGTTTTTGGGAGAATGTCAGCTCTCGTGAAAAGCTTTTTATGTCTATTTGTAGTAGATTTAATCATCGCAACACGATCGCATGTGCACAGTTTGATTTTGAGGACATCTGAATCAACAAAAAATCGATTCACGCTACAATTGTACGGCGAATTTAACTAGAAAAAACGTCAAATAGGAGTCCTCTGTTCCCTGTGTACTAACCACACTAAACGTCGGCATCCGAGAAGTTTGCAGTCAAAGAGGAATTAAGGTATTGGGATATAAGGCAATTAGGGTATACAGGTATTACGGTATTACGGTATTTGGGTATTAGGTTATTAAGTTATTAGGGTATTAGGATATTAGGGTATTTAATACTCTAATAAACTAATACCCTAATAGGGTATTAGTTTATTAGAGTATTAGAGTGTTAGGAGATTAAGGTTCTAGGGTGTTAGGGTGTTAAGGTATTAGGGTATAAGCCGGTAATTCCCCAATACCCTAATACCCAGATACCCCAATAATCCAATACCCTAATACCCTAATAGCCCAATACACCAATACACCAATACCTCAAAACCCTAATAATCCAAAACCCTAAAAACTCAATACCCTAATACCTACCCTACTACCCCAATACCCTAACACTCTAATACCCCAATACCCCAATACCATACCATAATACCCTAATACCCTAATACCGAAATACCCTTATACCCTAATACCGTAATACCCTAACACCCAAATACATTAATACCCAAGTACCCTAATGCCCTAACCCTAATAATATCCCAACACCCTAACCTTGCACACGGCTGGCGCGCCTGAAATTTGAATTAACCAGTCAGTATTAAGTAGGCGGGAAAAAACTTTAGTGTCTTAAATTCAATGTATGGTAACAGGAAAAGTATTGAAGTCGGGCAATTTTCTTTCACCAGAGACGGCGTCAAATGTTTACGAAAAAAAATTTGTAATTCCAAAACCCATATCAGACTGTAAAAAGTGAAAATTAAAAAACATTTTGTGTCTCTAAGCTTCTAATTTGGCGCCAGCAGCCGGCGCCTCGAGTGTCGCCAGGTAGGATGATAGCTGTGTTATTCTGAACAAAATATGTAGTTCCTCATTAAATTAAAACCAGAACTCTCGAGCCGATGTTGATAATAAAACGATAAGCACAGGATATATTTGGCAGGCATTTCATCAAATGCCGCCCTTCTTATTCTCCTTCTCTCATTGGTTAATGTTAAACAAACTTAAACGAATGGCATCTTATTACAGATCAAGTAATCAGTTTCTTTAATTTACTTTTCAGGGATTTTTTCCAACTGTTGTGTAAATTTTGCTAAGTTTTGCTAAAGCAACAGCAATCTATTGTTTGATAGTTTCAAACTTATGTATGTTAGAAATTAGTGCGCCTCAATTTTTGACGATTTTTTGACGCTTTTGACTGAAATTAAGTTTCGTTTTTGTGTATTTGAGCAGTAACTTCAACAGGTGAGTCGCACAACTTGATCGAAGCTGGGCCGGGCGCAATGTTTTGTAAATAGTGGGTTCTGTGCTCACAGTTTGCCAAAACCAATTTAAAGAATCAGGGTTGCCATGTCACGAAATCACTTTGACAATCGGGTGCCAAAAAAAAAAAAAAAAAAAAAAAANAATCAGCAGGCTGGAGTTATACTGAGAAAAAATTATACAGATCAAATTTGTTGCTGGGTAATGTTCTACTGACATTCTTCGGAAAGGCTGAAAACAAACAAAAAAAAAAAACGAAAACGTTATGCACTTGCGCGATTAATTTGCAGCCATTCAAATCTGATTGCTTTCTTAGTACACCGACTGCGAATATATAAGTACTGCATCTAGGAAATAAGGGAAGTTGTTTGCCTTGTGACTCTGTTCTTATGCCCTGACTTCAATTTCAAACACCAACCTTTCTCGGGGTCTGTT